GTATCAAAATTGCAGGAGCTGGCTTTCGTTCATCATAAAATTGTGGGCCTCAGTTCATATTACAACTTTCAGCCAACGAATTACTTTTAATTTCGTTCAAAAAAAGTCGATGTCAATCTTCATCTTTAAGCCATCTTTAAGCCATCGGAGTCATGAAATTGGAGTTTTTCCTGTTTGATGTGTTTAGAATTTGTCGATCTGGAATTGGCCGGGCAAAGGATTGAAGGATCCGTCTCTGAAAAAAAAAAGCAGAATATGACAGCAAAATAAATTTTATAACTTCGGATGCTGGCTGCTTTGGTTCAGAATATGGCATGGTGGATAGAATTAGGCATGGTGGTGGCGCTGGGGGAATTAGGGTTTGATGATGATGATGAAGATGAAGATGAAGGCGTGGACTGATATGTTAAAATCTCATAAATATTTTACTATGGAAGATTACAGTTATGAGGTGTAGTAAAACATTAGAAAAAAGTAATAAGCCAATAAAATGTTGACACATGGACTACTTACATTTCTGAACGAATGTAATAGTGCGACATGTGTCTTATGAGAAAAATTCCCTTAATATATACTAGATGCCTGCCCCGGGCGAATGCCCGGGGTGCCGCCTGTATTTTTAAATCGATTAAATAAAAAATACGAATCATTCTTCAAAGAATAAAAAAAATAGAAGAATAAAAAATCGATTGAAAGGACAGAAAGTGAGTTATTATACATAAATCTATGCCCAGATTTATAATATTTAATTTATAACAGTTAACTTATGCTCGAGTTTACATAAATCATAAACCAATATCTACAACAGAAGAATAAAAAAAAAATCATCCTTAAAAAATCAAATTTCTTTCATGACAGCTTATTTTTTCTCTGTTCTAGAAAAAAATGGATTGGTAATTGATGTCAGATTTTAAGTAATTGATTTAAAGGTCCGAGTGTGAGAGAGGAGCGGAATGGAAGAGATTCTTTGAAATTGGGGATTGGGAAGACATTATTGTGTTTCACTTGATTAAAGGGGATTTCCTTACATTTGATTTTATTAATTAAATATTGTTGTTTTAAGAGATTGGTATATACTTATAATTAAGAGATTTTTATGTAGCTATAATTAAGGGATTTATGTACTTATCTATTCCATCTTTTTTTTTCTGATTAGTTAGAGTGTCACTTGTCAAAAATGATTTTGTACTGAAAATGACTTTTGGCGGGAAAATTTTCATTGTAGTGCTGACACATATCCTTTTTGTTTACTGCTTTAATTAAGTACTATAGATTAAGATATGTATAAATTTAAACGAGCCACCTTTCTATTGTAGACATTTCGGAATGTACACATGACGCATAAAAATCCTGATTTCTTCCCTGAGCCTGAGAAGATTGATCCATCAAGATTTGAAGGAAGTGGACCGGTGCCATATACATTTGTGCCGTTTGAACGTGGACCTGGTATGTGTCGTGGAAGTGATTAGGCACGACTGGAAATCCTGATTTAATTTATTTGTACAATGTATTATTATGAAGATTCAAGTTGGAAAGAGCAATTCCAAATGAGAAGATAACTTACTGTTCATCTCGAATACCAATGAAGGGCCTCCCTGATTTAATTTATTTGCCCTCTTCTCTTTGTTTTCACACTTACCATACATTACGAAGAATACAAACAATATTTATTTTCTATACCTTGAATTGCCACATTGATCCTGCAACTGCAACATTTTATTAATGGCTAGCAGCTATCGGAATTGGAAAACATGTCCAACAAATAATGTCGTGATTCCGAAAAAGAATAAAGACTTGTTAAGCCTTAAAGGTGCCTCGATTGTCTGCACTCTGCAGGCCTATATACAGTCCAAAATTTTGGAATCAATTAAAGATAAGGTTGGTATTAAATCATATAATGACTTAATAAATTACTCCCTTCGTCCCATAATTACTGTCCAATTTTATTAAAATAAAAGATTTTATTTTTGGTCAAACTTAACTATATTTTACCTTAAACAATCGGATATACCCTACATAAGTAATTGTTTAACCATTAAGATTTTATGGATAATGTTTTTTTACTAAGGATAAATGTGTAACTTGATCCATAAAAAGTCAAATTGGACAATAAATTTGGGACAAAATTTTTTGGGCAAAGTGGACAATAATTATGGGACAGAAGGAGTATATTTTTTAAAATTGATTAAAACATACATGCTAACAAGAATTCGTGTTTCCAATTTTAATTGAACTTTTCATTTTCTTTTTTTTCTAATATTATACTTAAGATTATGTAACTCTTAATGACATGTATAAAACTTTGCTGATCTAAAAGAACCATGCCTTGTATCCAGGCTATATCGATTAAGTAAATCGTACTTTTATGTTTTTGAGACGTGACAATTTTCACGAATTCATCAACGACTACATTCACTTGTGGATATCACTAATTAATTACTCCAAATTTTATGGGAAATTAATTGAATAATAAACCACAATCAAATCAAAGGACAATATTTTCTTAATAAATGTACAGTATATTTTACTACGTAGTATCTGTTTGTTGCCATAATCTGCACTTTTTGTGTGCAATTATGGAAATTTCATGGTCGTCCCTCATAAATTAAAGTCTTCTTTGATATACCAAAACAGTTTAGTAAGAAATAATACTCTAATACTATTAGAATGGAGAGGGTATTTCTTTCTCTCTTTTTTTTTTCCTTTTGCGTTAGATAAAATGATTTACTCACTAAATTTGGGCTCAATATGTATTTTACAAACAATTTGAATTATAGAATAAGTAATTAATAAATTAATTATTTATTAATAAATAAATTAATGATTTATTAATTTATCGAAATTTAATAATTCGCTAAATTAATAATTTTTGGTGGTTGAAACTGTTAATTTATAAATGTTCTACTGTATTTCTTTTCTGTATATTTCAACTGTTCCCCACATGCATCAAATGAAAATAAAGAAAAAAAGAAGTTGATATCTCCACCTTTGGTTTTCACTTAATTAGTCCTGTATGAGCAAATTATATTCCTAAAACCACACACGAAAAAAAACAATCCAATCATATTCACTGCCAAATATTTTTCCAAATTATTTGTGGATTGAAGATAATATTAACCACTAGAAAAGGAAAAAGGATTAACTTTCTAAACACCAAAGTACTTGTGTTTCATCATCACGCATATAAACACAAGTATCAAAAATCAGTTCGAGGTGTTCCAATATTTTCTTCCATTTATTTCCTTCATTTTTTTTAACAAAAAAAAAAAAATTCTTTCGCCAACCCCCGGCGAAAATCTTCCACCCGGGTCACAACGGGACGGATGTCCTATATATTTATTGGAGTTAGAGAAAATGTGAATTGCTAGCTCATTTAAGGCAATTCTTGTGAAGTTTCCCCATTTTTGTGATCCAATTATTGATACATAACTTTGTTAAGAATCAACCTAAAAAATGTTAATTAATGCATGATTGATCTTGTAGAAGTATATATAAAAAGGATAAAAATCTGCTACGAGCGAATAGTTAAGAGATAAATGTTGAAGGAAAATGTACGATATGTACGACCAATGAAATTTTACAGCGATTTTGCAGATAATGACTGAACATCATGCAGTCCGTTATTGGTTGTTTCTCTGGAGCAGCAAAAAAACAGGGTTTTCCCCCTGTCAAATTGTGCAAGACAAGGCATTTTCACAAGATTGTTGAGCTTGTTAGGACACATTCAAAAGAGTTCACCAACACCTTTGTTACCAAAATGTTTGCACAGGTTGCATTCTGCTAAAACTTTGGTTGGAAATGAAAGCGTAATGTCTTCACAAGTTTTCAAACTCACTGAAATATTCATTTCTACTAATGCCGAAAAAAACAAAAGAACTTTTGATTCTAACTACTCTATTAGTTTGTAAGAATATTATAATCTCCTTCAGTTCAGAGATTGATTGGGTTGAAGGTTGGAATGTTAAAAGAGGCATCCGACAAGGTCTTCATTTACATGCATTTGCACGTTAGCTTTGCATCACTTAATTATTCTCTCTGTCCCGGTATTAGAATGTAGTAATGGAATATTTAAATTAAAAGTATGCAAAAATATATATTCATTGTCACTATAAAAATAGTGTAAGTTAAATTTTGAAATTTGTACTAGCAAAAAATTTATCTTCAAAATTGATGTTTAACTTTTCAATGCTAAGAAAAATCAGTCATCCTCCCGTTTTTATTTTTTAATTTTTTTTTTAATTTTTAAGGAAGTAGACCAGTTAGTCAAAGACCAACAGCGGCCTCATTAGTTCTAATTTATTTAGGTTGTTCCGTTGCTTCTGCCAAATATACAAAGACTTCGCTTTTTAAAATTTTATTTTAGGAAGAGAAAGATTGTCTATTTGTGGAACTAAGTGACAAAAGAAATATTTTTATTCATTTACTTAGCATCTGAATTAGGGCTTTTTTGTCTTTGCACTTTTCTCGTGCATCATTTTTAAGATTATCATATTATTATTCATTTACTTAGCATCTGAATTAGGACTTTTTTGTCTTTGCACTTTTCTCGTGCATCATTTTTAAGATTATCATTTGCAAAATTTAATATACTCCCCCCTGTCCCATAATTATTATTCACTTGGAATTTTTATTTGTAGTTTAAATTATATTAAAAGTGAAATTTCAAACTGGATAATAATTTTGGGACAGAGGGAATATATTTTATGAAGTTACATTCTAATAAGATGTTAGCGTCTATCGATTGATGATTAACTTTCCCTCAGTTTCTTTATTCAATTGATGTATATATAATTATTGCCACCCCAGTAATAATGCTAATACAAGTAATATAAAATTGTCCCTAATAATTATTTGGTAATATTCCTATAAATACATTTGAACTTCAGTATGCGAAAGCATCCATCTAAACCACTCAACTCATCATTTGGTTAACTTGGATGCTTAATTTTCTTCTTCCAATGGAGGTCCCCTTCCAATATCTTCTCCCATTGTTTCTCTTTATGCTAACAATCGCTGCTTTTTTCTTCAGCCAGAGAGGTTCCGGCAGCGGCGAAACTCTTCCACCGGGAACAACCGGATGGCCTATTCTCGGAGAAAACGTGAAGTTTGCCTGGGAAGGCTCTGAAAAATACGTAACAGATCGAATGAAGAAGTACTCTTCAGATGTGTTTCAAACCTCATTGATGGGTGAAAAAATGGTAATCTTTTGTGGCCCACAAGGCAACAAATTCCTCTTCACGAATGCTAACAAGCTTCTCACTTCCTGGTGGCCTCAATCCATAAAAAAAGCTCTGCTTTTCCCTGAATTTTATGAAGATTCATTGAAGGAAGTAACAGCTGTAATGTCTAGTTTCACGCATTCCATTCTCAAGCCTGAAGCTCTAAAACAGTACATTCCTGTGATGGATTCCTTAGCTCGTCAGCATATTGAACAAGAATGGGCTCCTAATAAACAAGTCAAAGTTTTTCCCTTATCTAAAAAATACACATTTGACTTGGCCTGCAAATTGTTCATGAACGTTGACGATCCAGCTCACATAAAAAGATTGGCTGATCCCTTTCGTCTTGTGACAAATGGGATGTTTTCGGTGCCAATTGATCTGCCGACGACAGCTTATAATGGTGCAATTAAAGGTGGAAAAATGGTAAGGGCTGAGCTTTTGAAGATTATTGGACACAGAAGAAAGGAGTTAACAAAGCAGAGCGAAACCGAAGGTGGTCATCAAGACCTCTTGTCAAGGATGCTTCTTGTGAAGGATGAAGAAGGAAATATTTGCAGTGATAAAGTGATCTCAAACAACATTATTGGTCTGCTTGTTGCTAGCTTTGAGACTACTAGTAGTGCAGTTACCTTCGTTTTGAAACATCTTGCAGATTTTCCCCATATTTATGACCAAGTTTACAAAGGTAAAAGAGACAACTTAACTCAAATTTTTCCACCAATTTTGAGACGAAGAAACTATAGATATGAAAATTTTGATGATTGTATTTTGCAGAAGTAATGGCGACTGCAAAGACAAAAGGTCCTAATGAGTTACTAACTTGGGAGGATATTGAAAAGATGAAGTACTCTTGGAATGTGGCGCGCGAATCCATACGGCTAACGCCACCTGCTCAAGGAGCCTTTCGAGAAACACTAACTGATTTTACCTTTGCAAGTTTCAAGATACCTAAAGGATGGAAGGTAAATAATGTTCTGAATCACCAACTATTACTTTTTATTTATGCATAAATTAAGTATGCCGCTTCTCTGTTGCAGACATTTTGGAATGTATACACGACGCACAAAAATCCCGATTACTTTCCTGAACCTGAAAAGTTTGATCCATCAAGATTTGAAGGAAGTGGACCGAAGCCGTATACATTTGTGCCTTTTGGAGGTGGACCTGGAATGTGTCCTGGAAAAGAGTATGCACGACTGGAAATACTTGTTTTCATGTACAATGTGGTCAAAAGGCTCAAGTTGGAAAGAGTCAATCCAAATGAGAAGATAACTTACCATTCATCGCCAACACCAATGGAAGGGCTCCCCGTTCGTATTAAGCTCCATGAAAACAATTAATATACAGACAAAATGGATTCTCATAAAGTTGCGTGGGAGAAGAAAAAATAAAGATAAAGATGTTTCTGCTGTACATTGTTCGGCCTGTTTTAAGTTTTCAATTTGTGTGAAAATAGGCGTTTGCAGCCTAGTTGTAATCGTTCCACGCTAAGTATTTGCTGGACATGCCAATTATTGATTTCGTGGCTCTTTTGTCTGGAATTGGCCTAAAAGTGTTATGACTGATTCTGTGAAGTTTTTTAATTGAGAAAGTAGGAGCGTTTGTTAAGAACATTAAAAGATAAGTTTTAAAATGCCGTCACTTATTCCTTTTCTGTGCCCCGTTGATTCCTGAACTTTTATAATTGTAAAGTTCAACTTAATTTCAGCATCAGAATGCTTTGCAAATAATGACTTATTGCAGAAAATTATTGGAATCTTCTCCACCGAAAAATATTTGTCACGTGTTTGACAATTATTGACTAGAGAAGCCTGCTTCTTTCGTGTTGGTATGTGTGCGCGCGTGTGAAACTCTAGAATTGCTAAACGGAGAGGCTGAAAGGTTTGATTGTGTAAATGATGAATTGCCTTCTCATTTGTCTTTGAGAGCTGAAAAGTTGAGGTCTATTGAGGACTTTCTATCTGAATCATTCACTGATTCTGAATGTTTTGTTCTACTTGTTTTACTTGCTTTTTCTTCTTCGAATTTTGATTTTGATTTTTGGCGGCAAGGTTTCCATAGAATATTAGTGTAGCCTGTGAAGTTGAGGCCTTTTTTCCCCTCACGGATCATTCTTGACTATCCGTGATTTTTAATAAAATTAGGGCTACCCGTGTTATGTGTTTCTCAACCAGTTTTTTTTTTCGAATCGCTTTACTTCAATCTTGTTCGAAAAGATACATCAATATTACGGTTAATATTATGTCGAATAGTATGGTCACTACTGTGTTTTTGTTATGTTACGGTCATACATTGTAATTGGATTCCTTTATTGAACTCTATCACAAGATATTATAAATACAACTGTAGGAAGTTAATCTTAAAATCAGCTTCAAAACTAATTAGAACAATAACATCAATGTTAATGTTTAATGATAAAAAAATAAAAAATACAAACCTCTTCTGATTACATTGGAAACTTATCATACTAAAATCTACATATAATTTCGAGAAATGTCTAGTTTTAACAAGTAAATTATTTATGGAATCTTTGAACATGACAACATCATGTAAAGTCTTATGTGTTAACCTATTAAAATAGTTGAAATTTAATGGGCAAAAGAAATCCCCCCCAAAAATAAAAGAAAAACAATATGTGAAAATTCCTTTTGCTATGATCTACACATGAAATTATGGGCAAAAGAAACCCAAAAAAAAAAAAAAAGTGAAATTCCTTTTGCTATGATCTACATATGAAGTTATTACAAAAAATTGTTAGGTTTCTGTGAGGTTTGTATCAGGAGCTTGTTTACGCCTTCATGCAATTACATGTATATCGAAGTATCTAATGGAGAAAGAAAAGTTCTTGTTATTGAAGAAATTATACACGATTCTCGTTTGTGAGTACCATGTTTATTCGGTTTAGTGAAATGGTTTATTTAGAGTGTTGTGAAACAAAACAAAAAAACACAGGCATAAACTTTGGGTCGACCGTGTTTGGTCCGATATGGCTGTTGCATCTATAGATATACATGTATTTCCCAAGCTTGAAAGTGGAAGGCATAGAAAATGTAGAGAAAGGGGAATCTCTATGCTTAAGAGTAAAAATTTTTAAGAAACCTGTTATGATGGTAGTTATGCATGCAAGATATATATTGTATGGTACTAGTCCTGTGATAGATGTGATGTTGCAACAGTTGTTAAGTCATGGTGGCATAAAAGTTTCGGCGATATAGCTAAAGCCGAAGCTATAAGTGGAAAATGGAAAATATAGGAATATATGACATGGGCTGTGTGTGTGTGGAGCCACCTATGACAGATAGGGACCTGTTTTATAGGTTTAAGAGCGTTCAATCTAGACATGTGGGATCAGAGATGCATGCGGAATATTACCATGCTAACATGGTGCTTGCCAGTTTGCATTTGTCCAAGGAGTGCCACATTTTGAGGTGTCAGGGTGGAACACTGGCAGGCTCGGTCGGAAAGCATTGACCATTCCTCAATACGAAAAACATTGGGATATGATGGCCACCAGGGCAAAAAAACAGCACCGATCACGCCCTTCAAGATAAGCACAGAGGTAACAAATGGTTTTGCAGAATGGTGGGGAAAGCTGGCGGAGGAAATGTTTGCAGGTGGTTATGACACTGTGAAGGCCAAATTCAGCATTGGGAAATATGTCAAACAAAAAAATGTTGCCGTTGAACCTGCTGCAGAATCGAAAAGTAAGTAGCTTTTGTTTAACTTGAAGTCTGCTTGTAACCTTTTCACCACTGGTGAACACTAAAGGCAATTGTTGAGCAGGGAAGGTGAAACCAGCTTCCGAGAAAAAGGAAACACAGGAAAATAAGAAAATGAGAAGGGCTGAAATCGGATAAAGCAAACTAGTTCCAACCAAAACAGTCCCAGAAAAAGTGAGGAGATCAGGCAGATTAATTGGTCAGAAACGATCTGCAAGCCAATCCAGCAGCAAGGTATGTCTACTACCAAGGCAAGAGGAAGTAATGCCAAATATGTAAATACACATATATTGAAAATATCGGCGTGTATACATGAGAACTCTGCGCATATTGAAGTCAGTGAAGACGAATCACGCGAGGAGGAAAGTGTGAAAATATCTGTTGCCGCAGAGAAGACAAGAATTGCAGCAGACTTGCACGGGTGGCAGCAGCAAAAAACAGAAAATAACAGCGTCGTCAATCAAGTAGGAACCAGGAAGAAAGCACCCCCTTCTGTTGCCACCTTGATGGCCCGATTGGCGCAAACAAAAGAGACGGCCATCTCAAAAACTGATCCTGCTGCTAGTAGCCCATCAATTTCGCTGGAAACTGCACTACAACAGATAACAGGGCTATTTCAACATCCCGCAGAGCTGGTGTATGGCACAATGTTTGATAAACTGAAAAGTTGTTTGACTGTAATCCAGGCGGCACCAATTGAAGATGGCATGGCGGCTGCACTGCGCCTCATTCTGGTAGAAGCAGAACAAAAACAATTTGAATGCAAAATATGCGTGCCGCACATAGAGGAATACCAAGCTGCATATGCCCTACAAGAAGAAAAGAAACTGCTGTCGGAGCAATTGGTATACCAAGCAGCCCAGTTGGAGGAGAGCATTAAGCATCAAGTGAAAAAAGAACAAAACTGCTGGAAAAATTGGAGAAAGTGCAGGCTGAGAGGGCAGCAATGGAAGCCTCCCTGGGCACAGTAATCCATAAAACAGACGGTGCCTTGACTGAATATGGGGTGATGGAAAAAACAGTGGCACAACTATATGAACTTCGATGATGCCCAACAAGTGGTGAAGAGAGCACAAATCAGTTGGGATTTCTTAAAATCCACCATTTCGCGCCTTGTACAGAACGTCAATATAGAAGCGAAGACGCCGCCAATTTCTGCGGTAGCATCACAAGTAGCGAAAAAACGCAAATAGAGGAAGTGGTGGTGAACCCTGCAACAGATGAGGGGCATCCAAAGGAAAGCAGAAATCTTCCAATATCATCATCAGAGGTGGAAGAGGCCCAAAGCTGTTCCCCAGCAAAGTGTGCCCATGGAAGACGCTGACCCCCATCACCTACAAGATGAAGGACAATATCGCCCTGCCATGTTAGCAGTTTTGTTGAATTTTAAATTGCCTTTCTTAGTATTAGTTTAGCTTAAAAAATCTAGAACTGCTATGTATCCTTGGGATACTTTTGAATGTTTGGTGAAAGGATTCTTGCACAAGGAACAAGTTTTTGCTTTATGATTGCGTTAGTAATAATAAATTTAGCATATCGCTATCTCGCTTTTTCTCTTGCCAAGTGTTGCTCCTTGGCCTCTAATTTATCCCATATTGTGGCAAAAAGACTTCCGCAAATAACATTAATCGATTTATCAAAAATTGTACCTTGGGGGTCTTGCAACATATAAACTCCGCGGCCCAAATGTTGGTGAATCAAATATGGGCCATCCCAAGTTGGACTCCATTAAATGAAAATGCCTGTATCTCACAAATTTGTTGCCGGAACGCACAATGGCCGCCTTCTAATTGATTATATGAGCAGTCAGCTGTATTGCGGTTATAGAGCAATCGGTCATGATCAATATGCACAGCCGTTGCATACTCAACTGAATCCACTGGAAACTGTGACTTGACATGGAGGGATCAGATGGGATGTTCAATTGGTAAGACCGCATCATGACCATAAACAAGTTCGTATGGGGTAGACTTGGTGCTGCCATGCTTAGTAACCCTATACGCCCACAACGATTGCCCTAACGCATCATGCCATCGGCGGGGATTATCATAACTGATTTTTCGAATGATCCTTTTCAGGATCTTTTTTGTAGACTTAGCCTGCCCATTCCCTTATGCAAAGTATGGCGAAGAATGAGTTAGAGTAAAACCCATATATTTGGCAAAACTCACCACATCCTTGCCAATGAAATACTGTGTCTGATCAGTGACAATTATTTTAGAAAGTCCAAATCGATAAATGATATGTTCTTGTAAAAGAAAATTAAAGCCCACTGATCGACATCTTTCAAGTGAATGACTTCGATCCACTTTGTGAAATAATCTGTTACCACGAGAATATATTTGTGGTTGGCAAAGGAACATCAAGAGCCCAACAACAGAATGGCCAAAGCTTCACAATAAACTGCACTGGTTCGCAAAGGGTATGAGGAACATCTCCATGTCGTTGGCAATTGACGCACCCTCTTGCAAATTGATGCAGTCTTGGGTCATGGAAGGCCAGAAATAACCATGTCGCCATATTAACCAGGCCATTTTATGTCCGCCTTGGTGAGCTCTGCAAATTCCCTCATGCGTTTCTAACAAGATTACTGTACATTCTTGTCGGCTTAACCATTTGAG